CCGCTCCACGCGCTCCCTGGCCCCGTGCCTCGGGGCGCGCACCCCAGCTCAGCTCGGCAAGAGGAGGGCTTGGAGCGTGGAGCAGGTGCCTGCAGCTCGTGAGAGGGGAGGGAGTGAGCTGCCCGTCAGGGAGGTAAGCAAGCCGCAGAGCCAGACGACACAGTGGACCCTCTTACTGCCATTCCAACGCCCTTGGTCACTTCCTGTGCCAATGGGGGCTCATTTAATCACCTGTCTCTGTAGAGGGCTGTTGGTGCCTGGTACAAACAAAGCACTCCGAAAACGTCAACCACCATCGGTATCGACATCAACACCATTAAGAGAAAACTGAGGCCACAGGGAGAAAATCACGTGGAACTGGAGGTCTCCTGGTGGCGCTGCCCTCTTTGCTGGGGCCTGACAGGGGCCATCCAGGCTGTACCCGAGGCAGGACTGCCCCTCTCCGGGCTCCGGATTCCTCCTCTGTGGAGCTGGCAGCGCCCGCCTCCACCTCGGGACAGCTGGAGGAGCCCCGAAGGGAGGGCCACTGCCCTGGACCGGGCCCCGGCGATGGCTCTGTGAGCCCCTTTACTGTCCCTTCTAATGGAGGAGTCCGCTTGGACAAGGATGAAGCTGACCTTGGGAGGGCGATGAACCAAGATGCCCAGAGAGCCTGGGTCTCGTATTTACCCCAAAAGGCTAAGTGGCGATGCCTCCAAGGCATCGTGGGATGTCTGGGAATAGTGGCTCAGTTCTGAGAATTACGGAACAACATATTGTGGAATATTATGCAGCAAAAACTAGGAAACTGTGCATTAAGGTGCTAAAGTCTCCAGTTGTTGAAAACCACCACAACCAGGAAGAGACACAATGCAAACAGCAGGGTCCCATTCAGGTAACACAGGACAGAGTAAATCGGTGGGGAAAGTTCCAGAGGTGCCCTCCAACTGGCGACAAGGTTACGCAGGTGAGGGCAGTAGGTCGTGTTTGCAGAGAGGACCCCCCCCTCCCCAACATCCCTGCTGCGCACGGCTCCCCGTGCTCCACAGATCCAGCTGCACGGGGTACCCCTGCCACTGCTCCGCCTCCCAGTCACAGGCACTTTGGACCTAGGGCTGTGACCCTGCAGCCAGCACTCAGTCGGGTGTGGGGCCCGCCACAGATGGCAAACCATCCTCACTTGGCAGAAATAGAAACGGAGTGGAAATGGCCACGGTGGAAACCCACAGGGTCATTAGATTCTCAGCAGAGACGCGGGGGCACGGCGGGCGGAGGAGGCCTGCCTTCTCTGCTCATGGCGACAGGAGCGGCTGTCTAAGCCCTGGCACCCCGTGGAGACTTTCTCCTTGCTGCAGCCAGAGAGATGGAAAGACGGCCAGGTGGCCACTTTCTCCCTCTGTGAATGGCTACCCGGTGTCTGAGTAACACCTACATCCCCCCAGGACACCCCAGGGTCCTTGTCCCACACTCTGATAGGTCCTACCCCAGGAGTGATGAGACAGGGGAAGGGCAGACTGAAGGAGGCAGTGTTACCTGCTCGAAGCTCCAGGTGTTGGCCTGGGGTGCAGGGCGCTCCCAGGGGGTGGGCACAGGACACTGAGCTGTGCCTGACTCTAGGGGGATGGATTTGAGTCCACGGTTTCTTTGGGTCAGAGCTACATAAGGGGTGAGCTTCCCATTCCTGGAGGTGTTCAATAATTGGCCACTTTGAATCACAAAGACTCAGGGGTGGCAACACCAGTTTCTCCTGCCTCCCGCCAGGAGCTGGGGGACTGGCCCCTCCCTTCTACCCGCCTGAAGCCAGCTGGCGGCCACACCATCGGACAGGATGCCAGAATCCCCAGGCCGGGCTCTCCACCTTCCACCTTTCGGTCCTGCAGACTTGGTTCCTGAAGTCCTCTGACCATCCCAGCTACCCGTCTGGTGCAGGCTGGTGACGCAGCAGCCCCCTCCCTGGTCTCCTGGCTGCCTCTGGTTTTTCTCCTTCTTACCATCCACTTTCCACTGCATCACCAAGGGATGTGGGCCTCCCCCCACTCCGAACCTTCCACCACTCCCACTGCCGGGGAGACAGAGCCTACACGCTCGGCCTGGCGCAAAGGGCTCTTGGTGTCCGGCCTCCAACTACGTCCCCGCCCTCGTCTGCTTCCGCTCCTGTTCCCATCAGCACCTGGTGGTCTGGCGGCTCTGAACTGCAGGAGTCTGCATGCTCTCGCACTGGCTGTCCCCTCTGCCTGCAGTGCCCTTTCCCCATCCAGATGGCATCTCCGGCTCATGCTTCATTGCCATCACAACTGGCGCCATTTTAATGAAGCCTTCTCAGACCCCTCTATCCTTCTCGGAGCAAGACCCCACCTCCGTGCCCTCGCTGGGGGCACTAGCCATGTCATCTCACTGCGTGATGGGCGTGGACCCGGCCTTGGTGACCGAGCCTGTTCGCCTATCTGAAAAGAAGCCAGCCTGGAGGAAGCAAAGCCAAGAAGCACAGAGAGAGTGAATCCCATGGGAACAATTGAAGTCCTTGGATCCAGCCATGCCTGGAGTTCATGCTCTGCCTAGGGCTGGAAGCCAGTCTTTGTTCTTTGGTGGCTTCAGGAGGAGATTCCTGCCACTTGCAATCAAAAAAAATTACTAATCCTGAAATGGACAGAGTGGAATGTTGAGATGAACAGTCTCTACGATGTCGAATCGGTGAGTCGGATTAGGCAGCCTAAACCCAGCGGGGAAGGGGGACCCCTTGGGCATCTCTTCCACAGGTCAATAAATCTGCCTTCCGTGCATGGCATCAGGTGGTACTGGCTTCTGTCGCTTGTAACAGAGGAACCCTGATGGACCCGCCTCTTCCCCCACCTGAATGCCTTTCCTTTGCTCATCGAAATCTCACTGTTGTTCATGTCTCACCTTCTTCCTATTTTGACTGTGGCGATTTGCGTAACCCTCTGTTCTCTAACTTCTTGGAGATTTGGGGGACCCGATCCTCTCATTTTAGAATTGGAGCAGCTGCGACCCAGAGAGGCTGGCTACTTGCCCATGGTCACGCAGTTGGCTGGGGCTGGAAGTCAGGCCCGTGAACGCGCCCAGTGGGGTTGTAGACTTCTCAAAGGCAGGACATATTTCTTAGTCTTCTTTACAAATACCAGCGAAAATCATTACAGGCAACGAACAAAGGGAGTCGTGTGCCAGGCGCTTTATGTAACACACCAGTTAAAATCAGGCTACAGGGGATGCAAGACATCAAGTGCCAGAGGCTCGAATTAGGTAGAAACTAATGCTCTCTGAGGGAGGCAGTCCTGGGCAGTGTTAGGGACCCAGGATCCTGCCACCTCGTCGCTCTGCCTTTCTTAGCACCTGAACTTCCACCTCTTCATCTAAGGTGGCTGCTTGAGCTCCAGCTATCTCATCTGCATTCCAGCCAACAAGAAGCAGGAAGTTGGCAGAGAAGGGTACACCTCTTCCTGCAAAACCTAGGAGCAGAGGAACCTGGGAAATGTAGTCTTTACATCAGGGGCCAAAGAAGAAGGGGTGGGCAGGAGCACTGGCCACCTCTTTCTCAGAGGCCCCGGGCTTGGTCCCACCTCAGG